ATTGAATGTCGTTGCGCTGGATGTTGATGATGATAGAGTTTGAAACTGTTCGTGAGGAAAACAAATTGAGTAATTTGAAGTTCGTTTTCAGACACAGACATGACAATTCACCGTGCTACAGACGCGGATGACATTGATGATGCTTTGCTCAATAAACTATAAAAACTAATGGTGGGACCATGAAATGTATAGTGATTGTCACAAAGAGTATTTTGAAACCTGTGAACGAAATGGTTCCGTAGTGTAGTGGTTATCACGCTCGCCTCACACGCGAGAGGTCCTGGGATCGACCCCCAGCGGAACCATATTATTTTGCCATACCATTTTGTAAGACTTTTGTTTTTTACCAAATTCTTTAATTCGGTTGAAATTTATGGTCGTTAACTTTAGGAGGACAATAACGTATATAATGAAATTTTGAGAGTATTTAGCGACCAGTCTAAAATCCTTATTAGATCATAGCATTACAAATGGATTCCCTTCACAAGAGTTATAAACCGATCACTTATTATGTCACTGATTGCTATAGGAGAATTACTTAGCATAAAGAAATGGAGAAATATTATAACTACTCTTCCGAGAAAGCCCAAACGGGAATATTTTACAAGTACCATTGAAATGAGTATCAAAAGACAAAGACATCGGGATATATATATATATATATATATATATATATATATTTATATATATATATATATATATATATATATATATATATATATATATATATATATATATATATATATATATATACATATGTGTGTGAAATTGTAAGAATTATTGTCTGAGATTTCTGATTTGGAAGAGATTGCACATGCTTGCAAAGATTTAAAGAAAACGGTTCTTAAAATTCTGGAAATTGGACCTTGTAATTTTCTGAAGTCTGAAGCATTAGGGTGAGCTCAACACCCGAGGTGATGAAAAAGGTTTGAAATCGAGTTAAAATACTTAGAAGCCCAGAATCGCATATAAGGAGCAACAATGAGCCGTGCGGAATTATTTCCGTCAGACTTCATAATAGAGAGTTCGCCTTTCCTTACATGCAAAAAAAAAACAAAAAAAAAAACTATGTATTATATTTTAAAGATTTTCTTTTATGATGGCAGTGCAAAGATTTGTCTGTTTGGAGACAATAAGATACACATAGTTTGGAAACGATTGGGTTCCAGTCTCTTTAGAAACTTGAATCAATTTTATATTCTTTTCATTACATAATATGAAGAAAGATATTCTATAATGGATTGTTTAAATTTTGTTAAGAATTTGTATGTATATGTGATGGTAGTAGTGACTTTTGAAAATGCTAAGTAATAATTGATTTAGAAATCGTTAAAATGACAGAACATAATATTTTGATAGCTTAGATCAAACATGATGTAAAATACGTATCTAGAGTTGTGATTAGTCTAAAATGTTGAATTTGTAAGAATTTTGGCTGTCGTTAGTTTAGTCTATATTTAATAATATTAACATTATATTGTAAAATAGAGAAATTCCAAAACTTTATCAGGTTCGTTAGAAATATAATTATTTTATATGTAATTTTGTATATCTAAAATCCAAAGATTCATGTATATGCATTTCAATATCTTATTTTCTCTATCAAGTAATCTATTATTTAAATAAAGAAGCTTCGTCAGACTTCATAATAAAGAGTTCGCAATTCGTTACATTTCGAAACCGTACCAGTCCGCACCCAGCGATGTAAAATAGCACCGTCCACGTCAGAAGTGACACCTCTGTAAAGAAGGCTTGAACTCAGTTCATTTTCTATCCATCTAAAATAGTCCACCGAAAACTTTACCTTAAATCTTCATCCCATAATAATGTAGAGAAACTACGAGTAAATTCCCTTTATATCAAGCAGTGGGAAAAATCTTTTCATAAAACAAGCATTATCCAAACCAGTTTGTTGATTTATGCATATTATCATACGACTCAAGTACTGCATGCATATTTGCACATCAGTTAAAAACACCTATCACTCCCGAATATAGTAAAAATGTCAAGAACGAGATCCTGTCTTTTACACATCCCCTTTGGAATCCGTTTCAAAACATCATGCACTTATTTCTTTTCAAACCATATTCATCATGACTCATTTCAATTTTATCCTTCTGCCAAACTGATTTCGTGCACTGTATGATACCTGTCACGGAAACAATACGCAAGTCCGTGCATGTTTGTTAGAATCCAGTCTCAAATAAGTATTTCTTTGGTTTCCTTTACCTAAACGATTGACTGTAAAAAAATAAAGCTTTTATGAAACAACGATTTAGTAAACAATGTAAATGGTTGGCAGAAAAACGGGAAGGTTAAATCCGGTAAGATATTACAGGAATATTTGAAGTCGAATAAGGCATCTATCAAGATTTTTGTTTGTTCGGTCAAGCTATGCTGAAGGCAGACCTGCAGTTAATACAGCAGCAAAGGGTCCCACAAAAGTCTAGTATGAGGGCTTTTAGTTAGGAAATTTTCGAGGGATAAAGTCAAAGGCTATTAAAGGGGTTAACCCTGATCATCAAGCGAAATTTTAAACCTTTACTTTACTACTACTTGCTGTCACTGTAGAAGTGGAACGCTAATGTACTTTTAGCGGATTTACAGATATCTTTTAAACACAGACGCAATCACGCTATGTACACGGTTTTACTACTTTTTTTTTTCATCACGACAGTTTGAAGTTTGATATTTGTATAGTTTTTAGAACTTTCCATCCAACCAACAATCGTTGACATGTGATCACTTTGAAATGACACTGCTGCTAACTTATAATTTGACTATTCTCTCACACTGGTGGCATATAAACTGAGAAATAAAGTTGAAGTGATTGGTGAGGTAGAAAGTTTGAGAGCAATTTTAGTAGGGTTATTCTTTTGACTACAATTGCACATAGGTGATCGATATGTACATTCAATGCTTATCAAAGTAGATACCGAGAAATTTGTTATATTAGATACGTGAAAGCCATTTTGAGTTAGAAATAAATCCATGTTAGTGGATAAACGCTGCCTTGTTGTGATTGTCCTATTTTTCGTTTTAGAGATATTAATGTGGATATGATGACACCAAACTGATATATTGTTGAGCTCGATTTAAAGTTTATTTCGACGATTTTACCTTGATGCAAGTAAACTTCTTGATCATACCTATCGGAAACAAAGATTGTAATAGTAAATTTATATCTGATTTTATTGTAGAGAAATTGCATAACGGTTATTCCTTATTTAGTTCTCATGACATCTTCGTCAACAAAATCTTAAATGACATGATTGGATTGACGATATCGAAATCTCCTGGTCACGATTATATATGTCTTCGCATTTCTAGTTCCCATCATCACATTCCCTCTTACATCTATAAGTACCTGCTACGTAATACAATAGTGTTTTTCTTGCTTTCTGAAACTAGTCAGGTTTAAAGCCCTCTACAAAGCAAGTAAATTTTCTGGTCCCAATAGCAACAAATATTTTTTATTATCCTCGATTTCAAATTTCTTTGAGAAAGAAGTTTAGAAGCAGCCATTGAATTATTGAACAGCATTGAATTTATATTTGATTTTCAACTATGTTTTAGGATTGGTTGCTATTACTGCACTGACTAGATTATATGAAAGATGAGGATTGTTCACCTCAAGAAAGCTCTTGATGTTGTTAATGATAACCTAATCCTATATACCTTGATACCTTATAAATGGGAGGACGTGCAGATGTCAGTATTCCAAATTGTCGGCCTAAAACGATTTGATTGTTAAGAGGCCACAAAGAATCAGTCAGGTAACACCGGGGCCCCGAGTGGCCGAGTGGTCTAAAGCGCTGTCCGTTACGGATCACTGCCATCTCACCTCTGTCTGCGTAGGTTCGAGTCTAGGATTCGGCTAATGTAGATATGTGAGAAAGCTTGCCAGTAGCTTCTCGTGGGTCGGTGGTTCTTTCCGGTGATTTCCCGGTTTCTTCCTCCACCATTAATACTGGCCGCCATGAATAGCCTATCGTGTGCTGAAAAATGGCGTTAAGCCCAACAACAACAACAACATCAGGTAACACCTTGCATTTGCTTTCAGCTGAAATAAACTAAAGTCGTTCCAGTCTAGAGTCTTTTTTATAAATTGTTATGAAGAAGAACGAAAGTGTATGGAAAACATCTCGGTGTAAAACGTGCCTTTCTGCTAAGATGATAGATATAGAGAGAGTTGCAGGGTCCTGTGTTTAATGTGATACATAATGTTGATCCTGCAGTTATGGAAGGGTCTACTTTGCAGACATGACTGAGATGTTATACCAGCGACATCTTCGCTAAGACATGTTTTTATATGTTAACCCTATCTACACATTGGTGGATGGATCAGATATTGCAGCACTTCGGGACAGTCAATTTTGTTTCATGCAGTGGCAAGCCACCGCAACCAATCAAACTTAGCTTTTGCAAAATTTGAACACTGTTCGTTCGTGATGGAGTGGGGAGCACACAGCTGAAATAGACTCATAAATAATTACTGTTCCACTGGCGGTCCGCCTCTGTACGAATATAGTCTTTCCCCACCAATACATATGTAATGGCTTCTCTCTGGTACAATGTCGATGCTAAATTGACAAAATATCCTTCTGAAGTCAATTGCCTCTACCATGTTCGGCTCATGTACAAAGCACCGCCGTTACACGCTATTGGTTAGCTGGCATTACATATTAAGTGAGGCAAATATGAAATCGAAAAGATGTCGCTAGGACAAGGCGCTGAATATCTGATTCCACTATTTTGAGCATGTATCGATTGTGTGACGTTGTGCTGGATGTTGATGATGATAGAGTTTGAAATTGTTCGTGAGGAAAACGAATTGGGTAATTTGAAGTTCGTTTTGAGACACAGACATGACAATTCACCGTGCTACAGACGCAGTTAACAGTGTCGATTCTTTGGTCAATGAACTGTACAAACTAATGGTAGGACCATGAAATGTACAGTGATTGTCACAAAGAGTATATTGAAACCTGTGAAACAATGGTTCCGTAGTGTAGTGGTTATCACGCTCGCCTCACACGCGAGAGGTCCTGGGATCGACCCCCAGCGGAACCATATTATTTTGCCATACCATTTTGTAAGACTTTAATTTGTTTTTACCAAATTCGGTTGAAATCTATGGTCGTTAACTTTAGGAGGACAATAACGTATATAATAAATGTTTGAGAGTATTTAGCGACCAGTCTAAAATCCTTATTTGACCATATTATTACTAATGGATTCCCTTCACAAGAGTTTTAAACCAATCACTTATTATGTCACTGATTGCTATAGGAGAATTACTTAGCATAAAGAAATGGAGAAATATTATAACTACTCTTCCGAGAAAGCCCAAACGGGAATATTTTACAAGTACCATTGAAAAGAGTATCAAAAGACATCGGGATCTTTAGTGTATGTATATATATATATATATATATATATATATATATATATATATATATATATATATATATATATATATATGCGTGTGTGTGTGTGTGTGTGTGTGTGTGTGTGTGTGTGTGTGTATTTGTGTGAAATGGTAAAATTGTTGTCTGAGATTTATGATTTGGAAGAGATTGCACATGCTTGCAAGGATGTTAAAAAGCGGTTCTTAAAATTCTGGAAATTGAACCTTGTTATTTTCTCAAGTCTGAAGCATTTGGGTGAACTTAACACCCGAGGTGATGATCAGGTTTGAAATCGAGTTACTGTTCTTAAAAGCCCAGAATCGCATATAAGGAGCAACAATGAGCCGTGCAGAATTATTTCCGTCAGACTTTATAATAGAGAGTTCGCCTTTCCTTACATGCAAAAAAACTATGTATTATATTTTAAAGATTTTCTTTTATGATGGCAGTGCAAAGATTTGTCTGTTTGGAGACAATAAGATACACATAGTTTGGAAACAATTGGGTTCCAGTCTCCTTAGAAACTTGAATCAATTTTGTATTCTTTTTAGTTCATAATAGGAAGAAATATATCGTATAATGAATTGTTTAAACATTGTTAAGAATTTGTATGAATATGTGATGGTAGTATTGACTTTTTAAAATGCTAAGTATTAATTGATTTACAAATCGTTAAAATGACAGAACATAATAGTTTGATAGTTTAGGTCAAACATGAAGCATATCATACTTTTCTTAGAATGATACTGATTATCGTGAGTGAATGATAATTGCATATTTAAATATGATTTTGAAAGAATCTTGTAGTTAGATGTTACTGTGAGCTAGAAGTTAGTGAATTTTATGCAACAGTAATCAAGCATGGAATATGTTGATATGTTACAGTTGTTATGCAATTTATTTCTTTAATTTATCAGTTACTATTTCATTGATAGAATTGGCTGATTGCATGCAATACTAATTTTCACATGTGTAGGATTTCCTAGGTTTATATGAATTAATTTTCTTTGTCTGTTAGGATGATACTGATTATCATGAGTGAATGATAATTGCATATTTATATATGATTTTGAAAGAATCTTGTAGTTAGGGATTACAGTGATCAAGAAGTTAATGAATTTTATGCAACAGTAATCAAGCATGTAACTTATTGAGTGGATCTGACTGGTTAGATGTAAGGAGTCATATAGTATCATATGCAAAGATATATGGTAATGTTTAGATACACCTGTTCATATTAATTTTTGTCCACTGCTGGAAGCAATGGTGATGATCTATCTAATTAGGTCAGACTTAAATGTATATTACAGAGGCGATTGTAACTGGAGATTATCATAGTATCTTACTTTATTTACAGTCTAAATTTGTAAGGACCATTAATCATTAAGGGCATCTTATATCAGAATTTATGCAGTGTTTATGACAGATAGTTTATGCCTTCTGAGCAATGAAAGTGAGAGAATTTAATATATGTATAGAACCTGATACATATAGTGGCTTGGTGGTAATCTTGTCATTTGGAAAACAGCTCCCAGGAACAGACGGAGAGTGTCCAAAACACAGAAGAAAGAAAAGAAGAGTTTGGAATATTAGGATCAGAGTAAGAACAAGTATACATGTGGAGAAGGGGATACATGGCATCAAGAGAGGAAGTGATGCTAGGTGATGCAAATCAGACATGGACAATGCACTCTTATTACCACTAGTTGCATTGATGAACAAATCCATAATTCAACACTGTTTTTAACTTCCATTAATGTATATCTGTTGAATTGAAGTTGCCAATTTTAATTTAGGTATTAACTAATTAAAATTTATTTTATTTTTATTGCTTAAGATGGCCTTTATTGCATTATTTCTTCTCAATATCTTGCTCAGTTCTCTGTTGACATTCTATCTATTCACTCACATCGGGCAATAACATCGAGGGAGGTCATCTAGATAATGATCACAAATCTATATAACTACTCCCTCTTTCTAAGAGAGGGAATGTTACATTTAGGTTTATCTTTGTTTTGCATGTCATTTTTGGGATACCGAAACTAGTTTGGCACTGTATAACCAGGGTTTTACTAAGGTGCCATTCAACTGTAAACATACATACATACAGACAGACAGACATACATACATACATACATACATACATACATACATACATACATACATACATACATACATACATACATACATACATACATACATACCAGAGATTCTTGATTTTCCATCAAGTTGAATTGGACATTTTTGAAGATTTCATTAACACATACATCAGCTGTAATATACATAGAAATAAAAATTCCATCCCCTACATCGGTCTCTTCAGGCAGTAGCAGCAAAATATAAGCTTATCACAATGATCGGCTATAGATTTCTGTACATGTTTTTTTTTTGGGGGGTGTTGTTAAATATATTATTTTTATCACTGATCATAATATTGCCACATTTGTACAATGGTAAATCCATCCACTTTAAGTTGATCAGTTTGTCAAAAATATTTTCTTCTTGTTTTGTTTATAAAGATGTGTTTTAATTTCCCTTCCACTTCCTAACTGCTGCCACTGAATTGAAGTCTTTTATATCAACACCAGCAAGCTTTCTTTTGATTAAGTTAGGTTGCAAAAATCTGTTCCCATGCTTGAAACTGGAATTACCCATAAAATTTCTTTTAAACAAATCACATTTGGTTACAGATGTTTGGTTGGAGGTAGTTTGGTCAGTAATTCAGCTGCTGCTCAGAGCACTGATTGATGCATTACCATAATGAGCATTAAAACTATCCACATCAGATTGTGGCATCAAACAAATGTTTGTTGGAAAAGTTCTTGGCTCAAATAGTGAATGCATTCAATATGGTATGGTCTAGGAACCTTTCATGTACATTAGCATGAATAATCCATATACTCTACTGCTTGGCCTAGGATGACCTTGTCACATGATGAAGTCTTCAATTCCATTCATGTACATTAACATGAATAATCCATATACTCTACTGCTTGGCCTAGGATGACATTGTCACATGATGAAGTCTTCAATTCCATTCATGTACATTAACATGAATAATCCATATACTCTACTGCTTGGCCTAGGATGACATTGTCACTTGATGAAGTCTTCAATTCCTTCCCCTTGCTGCATATAACTGTAAGAAACTTATTGCCAAGGAGCCCATAATGAGGTGTATGTCAAAGTTACACAGCTTCCAGTGAAGTCAAAACTCCATTGACACATTGCTATATGATAATGTATGGCAAATCTATTTTTTTTTGCAAACATTAGATCAGGGTTACAGCTTTCATTATGGTTACACTTTGACAATTTGAGTTTGATGATGCTTATTATTGTCTCATCTAGGCATTATATGCCAACAATGCAAAACCCATTAAGAATAACAAATATGCATCATTTCTGAGAAGCCAATCTTTGACATTTTCCATGCAATTGTTTACTAAAGGATTATGTTATAATTCTCTACCCCAATTTAATCAGATGTGAAAATTATGGCATTCAGGCAGTTGACCTGTTCTAAGTATTGTTGACGATGTCTCTATTAATTGCCTGAGAAAGAAACTATGTGTAAACTAGTCTCCTTTGACTTAAGATATATCAGTGACAATTTTATTGTCTGACAAAAAAATAATATCTAAAATAGATGTAAAAATGTTGACTTTTACTTTGTTGAGGTGTATTTGTTTTTGCAGTTTATTCGATAAACAAATCACAGGCAATTTGATATAATGATATTTGGGATAATCTATCACCAATGTCCAGTTGCTTTTAGTATGTAGCACTCAGAACCTTTGAACTAACAGTCATGTTCAGCAAATGCTGGGATTTAATGAGGTCTGATACATACATACATACATACATACATACATACATACATACATACATATATACATACATACATACATACATACATACATACATACATACATACATACATACATACATACATACATACATACATACATACATACATACATACATACATACATACAATTTGGTCAATCCATACTTTAGACTTATTTTCTTTTTATATTTTTCCAAATGATGTTTAATAACCTACATCTGCCAAAGGAAAAATATCTATTTTCATTTGTTTTGTGTGAATACAGCCTGCCATTCATTGTGTTTATAGCTGAAATCTTTTTCTTAGTTGATTCTGTAATGTGAAGTTGGACTGTTTTGTCAACCATTCCTTTTTTCCCTATATATTGCTATGTCAGTCTCACAATTTTATTTTATCTGTATGTTTAATACAAATACTTAATTAAAATACATAGAAAACAAGTAAGGCAACATCAAATATCGTCATCTAGTAATACATAAGTATCTAACAGTTACTCGAAACATAGTGACGAGTTGAAATAATCATCACAATGGATGAAATGAATGTCGGTTGGTCTCAGTCAAAGCCCCCATGTGCTTTCAACGAGGGACCGTCTCAAAGCAACGTAATCAACGGAAACAAGGTACATGTACGCAACATCTTAAATATTTGTATTAAACATGCAGATAAAATAAAATTGTGAGACTGGCATAGCAATATGGTTTGTTTAATTGATGTAGATACTAGCGCATGCCCCAATACTTACTGAGTCACAGTAAATTCTTTAACTATAATTTGAAATTACTACCATATTTTAAATGCATTATTATGTT